ATTGCCTCCGTGGGAGAGAAGCTGTTCATCTGGCAGACGTGCAACGGCAGACTACTGGTCAATCTGACCAGGCATTATCAGACCGTCAGCTGTCTAGCCACTACAAAGGACGGTTCGTTATTCGCCAGCGCTGGCGAAGATGGTCTGGTGTTCGTATGGTCGCTCTATAGTGCGCTGAACGACGCGCGTTGTTCGCCTGTTCACGCTTTCTCTAACCATAGTTTGCCAGTCAGGGATCTGTACTTCGGGCATGGTGACGCTCGCGCGAGATTGTATACAATCTCGCTAGATCGAACCGCGAACATCTATGAGCTTGGCAGTGGAGCTCTCCTGGTTTCCTTGGTGTTTGACGCACCGCTTACAGCGGTCACCGTGAACGTCCGCGAGAGCCAACTCTTCGTGGGCTGCACGACCGGCGAGATATTCCAGTGTAACCTGCACGAACCGCCACGTGGAGTCGAGCATCATGTCACGGTGAGCTCGTGCGAAGAGAGCGCCATGTTCCAGGCGCACAAGTCAAACGTGACCGCCCTGTCGGTATCCGTGGACTGCCGTACTCTGCTGTCCGGATCTACCGACGGTGCAGTCCATGTCTGGGACATTGCCAGCCGGCAGGTGCTCAGGACACTCAAGCATAAAGGCCCAGTTACCGCTGCGTTTTTTGCCAAAGGATTCGACAACTTTCGCGCCTCTGTCCTTAAGCCACGCTTGCAGGTGCAAAATCTACAGAGGACATCAGACGACGGTGGCAGAGAAAGCGTCATCGAGGTCGTCTCCAGAGGACGAAATTCGGCGGAGATTCTGAACTTCGAATCTTATATAGAAGGCAGTAGCGATTCTCGAGGATCGGATCAGATGTCGAAGAAGTTGGACGATCTACAGAAAGAGATTAATAAATTAAAGAAAATTAATGCTGCCGTATATCAATATAGCGTTGCACATATCTTACAAAAGATTGTTGATGATTAATAAAAAATATTGGAGCATAATCATGGGATTTTATGTATTGAGAGACTGAAATTTTTATACATTTTGTAGAATACATAGATAACGATCATATATATTATCACTTTCTTTCCATTAAAATATGTTTTATTTTTGAAAGATATAGGCGAATATTTTATATTATAAAAATACAGTCATATAAAAATAAAAATTGAAATAGTATTTCTTTTTCGATCTACCTGAAAATATTCTTTATCCATATAAATTGTTTTATATTTTCAATAAATATAAGAAATGGATGGGTGTAATTTTCTATAATATTTTATCTGTACCATGTTTTTTTTACATTTTTTTTTCAAACTACTGCAATATTCACAGATTTATAAAGCAAGAAGTCTAGGAAAGTCTATTTTAGATTAGTTAATTTTGTGAGATATTTACATTTGTCTATTATTATCTATAAAGGACGTTGCTAATTATCTTTAATAATTAAAGTGTTAGATCGGAGATTAATATCTCCTCTTCGATGAAGCATGCTATTGTCATCAAACTATTAAAATAGGATATTACAATTAAAATCTTTTATTTAGGCGCCATAAAATAATGTATAGGCAAAAATAACATTTTATTGCCAAGTCCAAACAGATACTTGTTTTTCGTAATATTGAATGAAAGGATCATCGCGATATGATAGAATAATCTTGTTTCTCGTCATTTTTGCGGCATTAAATTACTTTTCCTTTTCCTTGTAGCGATGTAAAAAATTATCGACTGGTGAAAAAACGCAATCTCATCATATGCATTAATCAAAATATTTGAGAAACTTAATCTATACGACTCTTTTCGTTTAAAATAAATTTACTGAATACATATCGCATGTCTCCATATCTGTGTCCCTATTCATATCCGTATATAGGATACACGTGTACAATTAATTAAATGGTAAACCAACGCTAAACGTTAGATACGATCCTCATCGACGCTCCTTTATATTTAAATCAGCCGTTATGCGCATACAAATGAAACGTTCACTAGCAGTATATCGTGTCCATCGAAAATAAATTAAACTGTGAAAATAAATAGAAGCCTTACTTTATACACAACAATAAGTTACCGTTTATTTAATTTTCCGGCATATACATTGATTTTTGCAAGCCAAATTTCAAACGTATCAATACATACTAGTTTTATTTCTTCGCAAGATAACTTATTAGAAAATAAAATTGATGAATGACGCTTATAACTTCAATTATAATGAAATAAGTTTACAGGGTATTAAAGAACCAACCGCAGTGCTTGATGCGTAAAATTATTTTATATATCCTAAAGAAATTACATGAATTTGATATTCAAATCTATTTTTCTTAAAATCGAAGACTTATTTCATTATAATTGTTATTATTTAGAGTCCTTTATTTTTGTATTAATGGCTTATAATTTCGTACGATTAATTGTAGAATATCGCTTATTAATTGAGAGCGAAATAAAGGCACAATTCTTGTTAGATCCTTTTTCCGGAGATTATTACTTTTTTCATGTAATATTGATCATAATAGACAAGTATTGTAACATTTAATTTCTTAAAGATATTCGTTTGATATTGTACTAATTTATGTATAATAAAAAAGTAGCAAGTTATTTTAATTTTTATTAAAATCAAGATTTTGTAATTAAGTCTTTATTCTGCCCATCCTCAATTTTTTGTTTCTTATTCTGCAATTAAATTGACTTCTCGTTTTACTCCGAAAAATTCTTCATGCACCGAGAGAATTTTTTCTTAGAATTTATTCTAAAAATATGATAGTCGTGAGACATTATATTTCGAGAAACTTTAATGTTAATCTCTTTCTCATTTACAATATTAAAACTACAATAAAGTATAAATAAGACTAATTTTATTGAAGTGCATGATAAAAATCTTTAAAATATTGTATTGTACCACAATAATACTATATTTTGAGAATAAATTTTAAAAGGTAATTCTCTCCATGTGGAAAGATTATTCCGTATAAATTTTTTTTCCCTCAAAATTGATATGTATAAGTACATTAATAATATATTTATATTAAATTATTATATAAACGATAATAAATACTAATATATTATCGTTTATAATAATTTAATATATTAAATATATAAATATATTATCGTATCTGCACGTTATTTCTGAGAAGGTATATACATACGAATTATTTATGTTTTATCTAAAGTTATGAATACCTAATCTTTTTTTTTTTTTGGAAAAAGTAAATTGACTTTGCCGGTGTTGACATTTTTTCTATACATTTTTGAAGAACCACGTTCTGCCGCTATCAAATCGGAAGTATCCAGTTGTAACCGGACGTGCAAGAATAGCGTGAAAAAGCATCGCGAGAACGTTCACACGCGTTAGGGAGATTACTCTCAGTGGAAGATCGCACGAGAAAACGTGTCGAGAAAATGTCACGCACAAATAATGCGTCATAATCTGTCGTGTGATAATCTCATCACGCATACATAAATCTATATATTATCCTGCATCATATGTAATGCCGGCCTCCTTTTACACCTACGTCGGCATCGACCGAATTACTATACCCGATATAATACTCGATAATTGATGTCGCACGCGGTGTTCTTGCTGGTACATTTAAAAGTGCGTTTGAGAATATTTTTTTTCGGTAAATCAGTCTTGCTGATCCCTCAAGGATCATGTGGTGTATAAAAATCGATCGTGTCATAAAAATTAATAATATATGTTTTCATTATTATGCATGAAGTGTTATTATGCATAAAGTATTATAACATTATTATGCATAAAGTAACGGATATAATATATGTATATCTACGACATATATAAAAAATTTTTGAAAATTATTGGAAGATGCAAATATTATACTACATTAATAAAATGATGTTTCTGCGCGTTCCATGTATATTATAAAAAATTCATAATACAGATCACATCTTTATTGCATATTTGATCAAATTGGCTCATTGTCTTTATAAGGAAATAATTTCACATGTTCTATAGAAATTTTGCTATTAAAAATGTATCACACGTACAATCCCTGCAAAGAAAATTAAATTTGGAAATTATTAATTATAAATTTGATATTTAATATTTTACACTTCAAATGAACTATTAGGTGTTGGAATTAATTCGTAGCGTTTTACAAGTGATAGGAAGTACTTTCATTAATGTATTTTTTAATGCTCATGTGAAATAAATAACATTCTTTCATTAAAAACGCTACGAATTAATTCCAACACCTAATATATACATATGAAAGTTGTTTGAATAAGATTACATTTTTATTTAATAACACATTTTTGTCGTTTATTTATTCTATTTGTTATTATTTTTATTGTTAAAAATTAAAATTTAAAAAAATGATAAAAATATCTAAATTTTTTTGTATTAGTTCTTTAAATATTCAAAGTAACTTATGTAAAGTTCATTGCGAGTCACTGATTAGTTACAAAACTATAGAAAAATAAATATTTTGTTTGTAAAATATTACTGGGCAACTAATTCATGTATCGCAATGTAACTCTACACATAAATAATCTTGAATACATTTATTTATATTAAAAAGTTTATATTAAAAAATTGAGAGATTTTTGTCATTTATTTTATGATACATTTTCATACATTTTTTTAAAGCACAATTTAAAAAAATACTACCATTTACTAAAATAACTTATGATTCAGATAGTAAACCGTCAGATTTGTCATATTGTTTTTAAATGTAGAATAATCTGTTAATGTATGTAATAATTAATAATTAATGTAATAATTTTTTCATAATTTTGTTATCATTTTGAAAATATGTATAAAATAGATAATAGAGCTAAAATAGATAAATTTCTAAGTACTGCGATATTGTATATGTATTGCATCATATAGATGACAGAGATAGAATTTAGATTTGTGCTATAAATTTTATATGTATGACATACATAATTTTCTATCAGATACAAAAAACAGTTATAATTTTAACTGGAGCAGCAAAATATTTTTGAATATTTCTTTCATTGTGCGCAGGACCTAACATGTGCACGTGCACATCTCTCTCATACAAATATTTGTGTGTGTGTGTGTGTGTATGTGCATGCGTGTTTATGTGTGATGTCTAGATGTGTGCTAATGGGCCGATTTTGCGAAAAATACATCGATCTCGCAAAGAGTAGGGGTGAGACACGAGGATGCTCTACGACAAGGGGTTTGAACTGTGGGGTGGCAGGTTCATAATCGAGCAGAGTGACGGTGGAGGGCGCAAGGTATAAAATCGGACGTCGAGTCACAGGAGACATTCAGTGCGATTCTAAGCTTCACATCGTCTACTTAAAATTTCGATTTCATCGGAAGTCACAGAAATGCAGGACAACAGATTTTTTATCTTCGTGATCCTTTTGGCATTTTCTACGTCTCTTAATCGTAAGTCAACATCGCGAATTTCACGATTAACTTCAAAATATACATTTCCTTTTTCGTTTTTTAATTATTAACGTCTGATTCCATTAATTCGGAAATTTTTATTAAAAAATTTACAGTATATTGCATTTCTTACATTCAAAATTTTTATACTTAATTTGTCAATTATCAAATATATTAAGGGTTCCGAGTAATGCCTAAAACGCATGATGCATCATTTTATTCTTCTTTATTATTTGGTGAACAACAAGACAAATGATGCATTATGCGCTTCATGTGTAACTAGGAACGTACCCTAAGATACTTTTATAATATATCATTTTAAACGTTAGCTAATTATTTTTTAGTAGTTAGTAAATTATACTAAAAGTTATAGCGTCTTGATAAATTAAGATCGGCTTAAATTAACCGCAAAATCGATTCACCTGATCTAGATATTAAATTTGGATGTTAATTTAAATCTTAATCCAAAACATACTCACACACATAGAATTAAAATAATATAGAAGTAAAAATACATATATTATATAGAAGTAAAAATAGTTGGTACATGTTATCCAATTGTTATTAAAGAGATCTAAGATGGTCGACATCATAGAAATTATAAATGAAAAAAATGACTGACAACGCAGGGAGCTTCTAATCTAATATTAAAAGTCGCAATTTTTATTCTCTCGCGAATAATGTGTTAAATAATTCATTCTCATTGAGACAAACAACAACTCAGATGCAGCAGTTCCCAACGAAGCGAGGTAAAAATGAAGTAGGACGGGGAATTAAAGTGCAAAAAGTCATAGCGCGGATAAAAAAAAAATATTATACTGAATTCCCACAGGAAATCGTTGAGCGCCACGAGTGCGAGTGTAGATTAAATTGTTAGGGATTATGATGTCCGACTTTTGATGGAAAAACGTCGACGATGTTCTATTTATTTTGCAGTTGCTAGATGCTCGGTCGGCCAGCACTTCGAATCCACCAGAGGCAAGAAACTCGCATGAGTGTCGCACTTTCATAACTTTTGTGTGGCATTTTTCATATTATAACTTTTTGTGACTAATTTTTTATTGTTTCATACATAAATATCAAAACATATGCACACAAACGTTACAACTATCATCAATCAAAACGCTATACTCTACTCTCTCTCTCATTTATATTTTTTAAAATGTATTTCAAATTTTGAACGTTTTTTAAATTCTCTTGTGACGCTTGAGCGTGTTACTGATTGTACATTTAGTTTCTTTAAAATACGATGCTTAACTTTATATCTTAATTGAAACAAATTAATACAAATTTTTGTTTAAATTTTAGTAAAGAATATAGATTTTTATTTTTCTTTGTATTGTCTTGTACACTCTAAATAATGTTTAGATTTTGAATATACATATTATATATTTATAGTTTTATTTTTATATAAGTTTTTTTTTATGTTTACAAAGCACGTATGTGTATAATAGTACATGCACAAAATAATTCGCTTTAGTATATGTACACATATTGATTATGAAAAGAATTTATTTGAAATAATTTGTCTTATTTCTAGTTTATTTCATGTTTTTTTTTTAATTCATGTTGTATTATTTGTGTAATTGAAAAATTATTAGATGCATTAGTCTTGGATAATTAATTGTTAAAAGAAAGCAAAAGATATTGTTCCAAAAAGAACATACAACAAAATAATTTCGAGCATTTGATATTCTAATTATTTCACGTATCGTTCACGTTCTAGAGGGTCAAAAATTGAAAATCAACGATAGACGTTCCGCTGGATTGGTGGCGTATCCAAGAATCGGCCGAAATTCGGAAATAGCGAGTTTTCCTAGAATGGAGCGTGCTTTTGGAATAATACATAAGCCCCGAATCGGACGATCCGATGAATCGAGCAATTTGAATCGATTTCAGGATTTACCAGCTGACGCCGATATGGAGTTCTACATTCCACGCGACGTGGAATCTGAAGTTCTTTTAAATCTTGTTTACGAAGGTGTGGAAAATTTGGAAAAATAATGTCGGAATGTCAAAGAGTGCATTAAAGCTTTAAGAATAATTTCATATGAAGATTATCGAAAAGAAATAATTCTCATAAATAAGAAATTATCATGACTTATCAGAATATTTTTAATAACATTATTGACAGCCAACTTTTTGAAGTAAATTGGAAGTTTAATGAGGCAATTACAGCAAAATATTTTAGTATGTAAACGTTGGCTATATGGATGTTATCTTGCAATAAACGTTTAACGCATTTCACGTCAGATCAATATCCGCGATGCCGTTATTAATTAAAGCGGCTTTTATCGGATTGAATAAATTTTATGAAAAAATATAAGCGCGAATATCTGTATTTGTGCGAAACAATGCTGCATTATGTGGCATGCGCTTGCAGTTTTTAATGAATTGATTTGAACGACGTGGGACGACCCGCCTCAGAATCCGTTTATCATTTTTAAACAAAATGCATATAAAACGTATTTAGATATTACACATTTTTACCATCTACAGGAAATTGTTAACTGTACTTTTTTATGTAGATTACGCAGATAGACCGATAGCATTTAAACATGCTGACAAAATTCAGAAAGACGGTGCCTGGTTAATGCCCGATCATGTACATGGATACAAGGATCTTCGTTTCGCACAAAAAATCGACAATCCTCGATCGTATTATTCTATTTTACGAGGTATGAATAAAAGGATCCTACTTTCACCTTTTATTACGATGATATGAATTAACAGTAGAAGTACCAATGTTTCTTACTCACTAAAAGGATCAAGGATAAATATTATAGAAATAGAGAAAGTAATAAGAATATTTTAGTATAAAGAACATAATTATTGAAAAATAAAAAATTTTCAAAATCTTATTTTTTACAAGAAATATATTAATCTAAAAAATAGACACGATTATTAATAACTGCCCGATACTTCTAGTATTAATTCGTTGATTTATTCGCATATTTTGCGATTTAAGATTTATGAAAGTAACCAATTGTTTCTTAAATTGATCTCATTAAAAAAGAAATATTGAAAATGTTTCAATTTTATCTCAAAATCTATATGAAGCCAAGGATGCATTGTTCAAAAGAACACTAACAGTACGTTTGCAATAATAAACGCCAACATCTTTAAATGTTATAAAAGGTATTGATCATATTATTTTCGCTAAATTAAATATTCTCTCGGAATACTTGGAGCACGTCGCGTATGTTGAACAGATATCGACTATCATACACGACGTCATTCATTCTTTGACATTACGCGAATCGTTTTTCCATAAAGAATAGCGTCGTATGAAGAAAAGAGCGTCACTGCTTCATTAATCCTTAAATGCGAGCAATTTAAGACTGTCCACGTGCGATTTTTCGCGCTCTGCAATGTGATTGATCTCTTTTCAGGTTCTCGAAATAGTCAAGGTCAAGGAGGATACACTCCGAGACTAGGTCGCGAGAATGAACACGACGCAACGAGTTTCCTGTAACTTGCCATCTTTGATCACGATTCGCGCCTCGCGGATTTGACGGATGTTGACTTGAGACAAAGAAGGAACTTACTGTCAAAAATGTCAGAAATGTAACATGCGGTGCTTTTGATTGTTTTTCCCTATTTGCATAGGCGATCCATCTTACCCTTGCACTTTGTACGCAAATTATGCAACAATACATAATCTGTACTTAAATACTGTACTTTGTAATCTTACATGCAATCCTGTCGCCTAGTATCGTCACGAAATAGCAATTCTCTGGTGAAGCAACCGATCTTGATGTAACTTGGCATGTTATTTTAAGCAGATTTTTATTCCGAAATACTCGATCCAATTCAATGTTTATTTTTATATACAAATAATGGAGAATAGAAATAAAAGTTTGATTTACACGCTCAGCTAATTGGTGATCTGTTTTTGATGACTGTACATATTTTCAAAAATTCAATTAAAAATAGTGTGTTCCTCATAATTATTTGATTACATATAACAATTTACAAATAGATTCTATTACTAATAACATTTGAAATTTGATACAACACTTTTAGTATATAATATAGAAAGCCATAGCCAATTATATTACAGGTAAAATCTTATAGGAAAAGAACAATCCTCATAGTTCGTTTTATTGTTAGTGTATAAATTGGGTACAGAAAAACAATGTCATATTGTTTCAATTTTCAATGCTTCCGTTAATTTTTCATCTGAAAAAATGTGATTTACACGCCGATGAATGTTATAAATGTTATAATCGAATTCAATTGAAGTTAATACGATACGCGGTACATCATTTTCTCACGAAATGCACAACGAACGTAATAAGACAATACAAATCATTGACTCGATGTATGTAAAATTCAATGATTTTATTAATTGACAAAGTGTTCATAATGAATATCTCCGTGTATAACGCACCGACGTGCGACACTTGTAACGTCCAAGTCGCACGTGTACACGAATGTGTGATATAATAACAAATATGTACACACGTAGAGAATATGTAACAAACTAGTGATACACTTTGGAGAATGAATGGAAGGGAAGATAATGAGACGCGGCCGGTTTGCTCGCGCTAATTAAAGGTCCATTCGTCTTGAAGAAGTAGTCGTGAAGTGTATATACAAAAAGTCGCATCCCTCATTTCGGGTTATTTGTTAGCAGACTAGAAGAGACTTAGGTCTAAGAGGTTCTTCACGCATCCATCCATCATTCATACACATTCATTATGGGCGCAAGCGGCCGCGGGCAGCTGGCCAGACAAGTGAGCAAGGCAGGCAGACAAGCATAGACAGACAGATATTCGATAGGTTGGACAATCGTGGCCGATATCAGTCCTTCGATCGAATGCTCCGTATACTAATCTCGGTGACACGCTGGCCGCGATACAGTGAGATATCGATTTTCTCTCTTGGCGCTTTCTCCGCATTCGTCGAACGCGCTGCATGCCGAAGGGAAGAACCACGTCGACTTAAACTGCACCCGCGGGAGATGTCTAATCACGACTACATTCTCGTTGTTTCCCAAGAGATGGTCCGGCTACTCGCCGATAACTACCTACTCATGCGATTTGCGAAGTGCCCATCAAAAATGGGTGTTTTCCATTCAGTGGTGAAAGTTAACTATGAACTTTTAATTATTTTTGCTTTCCATTTATAATTCAAATTTACAACACAAATCGAGATTAATTAATTATGTTAGTAGCGAAGATGAAGGGAATGGAAAGAGATTTAAATTATAAAAATAAAAAATTTTTCTGTACGTTGCGATATAAACAATTGTAAATGACTATGAAACAAAGAAAAAATCTGAAAATAATATAAGTCTATTATTTATAGCTAAATTAGTGTACTTATAAAATGAAATAAATGGAAGTAGATATGTTTGAAGTTTGGTGAAAATTTTAGTGCAGATCATACAACAATGAAAAACACATCTATTGTCATCGCTATCGTTATCACGATTATGGAAGAGTACTCTTATAGAAAAGTACTATTGAACTCGCGAAAAAATGATGGAAAATAATTGCAAAATCACTCGAATTGAATATTGTACACTATTCATTTCAATGATTTTCTTATTAATCTGATAGTATTTTCCCACAAGGATATACTGCCATCAATTTCTCAATAATCACATTTATAAAAAGCAAATAATCTTGATTTATTTGTTAAAAAAAAATCCTAAAACTTGTTAAATTATAAAACAATATTATATGTCTTTCGAAGATGTAGATGTAAATATAAACGTATTTAAAATGTAATTGAAATTACAAACCACCTTATTTTTCGTATTATTAAATTTTATGTTCATATTATTAAATCATACTATTATTACGAAAATTACATATTATATTGTGCGTATTAAGTTTCACGCATAATAATTCTTTCCATTTATATTTATAATAATTAATTGTCTCCATAAATTATATGAATGAAAAACACCCATTGTACATTATACATCGACATGTGAGACCATTTCCTAGAATTATGTTGTTTACATATTCCTTGTCAATGTATAATGAAATACTCGAGAGTCACTTAGAGATATGCTCTACTCATTACATTTTTCTAAATGCAATGCGGAAGTCCATAAGATGATGAAAAAATATTAAAGACACTTTGTATGTCTTTAAATATTGGAGTTATCTGCATTTGATTATTGATCATTGATTGAGTTTTATATATAATTTTTTATATAACAAATAGAGATTAGGTGCACAAAAAGCGACACAATATTCGACGTTTAATGATAAATCTTTTAATTCCTAAAAGATTCACTTATTAACTTGTATTATATAACTTATCTTCATAAATAAATGATATTTAGAAATTTTGATTTTATAAATGGCAGTCCAGAATTGCGATTAATATTTTAAGGCTGCAAAATTTGTAATGTCCACAATGACCCAACGAACGCGTAATATTGAGATAAAAATTCTTCAGTACAATCAATATGACGTCATTATCAAATTTGCGATACCGATACATGATAGGATGATTCGACATGTCTTAAAATTCCACCAAGGAAACGTATACGGATCACTCGTTCGAAGCGAGCGCGTGCGTTCTCAAAGAGTCGATTTGTGAGCCATTCCTGACACGGTTAGTATTACCGCACGCTAATTGATGTTATCCAATAATACCCGGCCGCTAATGGATGTTCCACAGTATATTAGAATAACACTATTAGCGGGATATTATCGATTATGAAATCAGTATTGCGCAATAATACGAATCAGAGTGGAAAAGAATCCGGTGTTTTAGAGAGAAACGAACTCGTGCGGTGGTTGAATGATCCGCGGCGGTGGTGGCGGCGATAGCCGCAGGTCCATATCCGTCATGTCCGTTAACGAGAACGCGGAACTGCCGTTTGCCGTAATGCGCGGCCCCATATTGTCGTAAGGCGAGCCGGCGGCGACCTCGGTGGAGCGCAAGGCCCGACGCGGCAGCGTGGCGAAGCTAGATACGTTGATTGCCGCTGCTGACGGCAAAGCCGCGGTTTTGCCGCCAGTCGAAACGGTGGTCGTAGCACCGCTAACCGCGTGGACGGGGATGTCGAGGAGATCCGGATAGCAGCGCTCCGACGATGCGTCCTGTGGCAATGACACGGAGATGAAGATATTGCCGAAGATCCCAGCCGGCAGCACACCGGTGGTAAATTCCGGCGGCGGAGGCGGAAATATACCGGCGGTGGCCGTGGCGGTGCATGGAACCGCGCGAATGGTGTTCACCGAGTTGTCCGCGGGTCGCAGCCGTTCGACGGTGACCGCGGCCGCAGCCATAGGATCGCAAATAGAGCTGCGCTCCGCCAATTCGAGGTCACCGGTGCTACACGCCTCACCGATGCTGCCGTGACCGCTGCCGCGATCGTTACTATTGCCGGGCGTCGTAGTGGTGGTCACGGACAGGTCTAGCAGCTTCTTCTCTTGGTCGCCGAAACTACTGCTGCTTTGCAGCTTCACCTTCTCCCGTTTACTGTGCCGTCGATTTCCACCGCACAAACAAAGAACCAGCAACACGGCCGAGATGGAAGCACACGCGGCAGCCGCGCCGCCTCCAGCCAAACTTACCCAGAGCAGCCAGTTGTCGCTCTGGGAGAGAGTCGGGGCCGTATAAACACGAGGTATTGCCACGCTGACTGTGTCTCGCGCGAGACCAGCGATATTCTTCGCAAAACATGCATATTCGCCGGCATCGCTGTCACTAGCGTTGTAAACGGTCAGATTGCTCCATCGATCCCCGACGGTTCTGGACGCAGACTTGTCATTGGAAGGTATGCCAGCCTCGGACGTTGCGTAAATGACGAGAGTCCCCATGTAGGGTTGATCAGTCGATTTGGTAGCATTGACTGGTCCACCGTTTAATTGCCACCAAACTTCTGGCTCGGGATCGCCGCTCGTTCGACACGCCAAGCTGAGGTTACCGTTGGTTTCCTCTTGTATGCTGCTCGCCAGGACGAATACTTTTGGTTCACAAGCAAATTCCGTAGGTTTTACATCCTCCCACCTGCGGCCTTCCAATCTCGGTGGACCTGAACAAATTTGTGGCACGGAGTACAATTTGCTGGGTACGTCGGGGATAAGCCAGGTGCGAAAATCTCGTAGTCTGCAGTCGCATCTCCATTGATTGCCATCTAGCGTTAAGGTTTTCAAGCGAGATAATCCGGATATCACCGAGGACTCCAAATATTCTAGTTGGTTAGTATCCAACTTCAAGAATTCTAAGCCGGTTAGCCGGGCAAAGGCTTGTCCGTGTACTTCAGTCAAGGAGCATCGTTGTAGCTCTAAATTTCGCAGATGCTGCAGTACAGGAAACTGTAGATTACGCAAAGTACCGAGCGGATTTCCGCTAAGTATCAAAATGCGCAAGCGCTCGTTTCCGAGAAATGTATCCGGTTTCAAGACCGTTACGTGATTGTCCGACAGATCGATCTCGATGAGTATCCTCATATCTTTGAAAGAATTCGCATGGATATTGTAGATACCGGCATTACGCAGAAAGACCCGTTGCAGATTCACCAAGCCGGCCAGTTTGAATATCTCCTCTTTCAGAGCAGGTATCTTGTTGCCGGACAAGTCGAGCACTTGCATGTCCGGATCGAGGGATGCCGGCAGCGACGTTAGGCCGGCGTCCGGACACAAAGCGGACTTCTTGCCGGAGGTCCACTTGCATCGGCAAACCGCGGGACAGTCGGTCCAATCCGGGAAAGCGGCCGCCCGTGACAGCAAAGCGAAACACCCCGTTAAAAGGAAGAGGGCGAGTAGTATGCGCCCTCCTAGAGGGTGAGGCCTTGTCACTAACATAACACCGTCCTTTTATCGGTGTCTACCCGATGTCTACTGATCCCGTCTGATCCTCTTCTCGCCTCGAGGCGAGAACAGGCAGCTGGCTCCACCGCAACACGGTAACGACGACGACAACAGTTCTCCGTTTCACTGACGACCTACGAAACAAAGGCCTCGCATCAGCGTAATCGATTGTTTGTGTACTCAATACTTTGCGGTTGTCGCGGCATCCCATCAAAGGTTTGTGCTCGCGTCGCGTCAAATTTATCGTCGTCAGACACCGTTAGAGTTCGAACGCAAAGGTAGCGGACTGCTATCACTACCGGAAAACAGGAATTTAATATAGGCAGAAGAATAGGACGGCGGCCTACAAAAGATGTCGCGCATAAAAGGAGAAATATTACATTGCTGGAATAACAGATAGCTTGTGACAGATTAGAGGAGAACTATCTCGAGCTGTGGGAAAGAGCTAATACGAAACGATCGTTCATCACGATCCTCGATTTCTAGCATCTATGAGAGACGAATTTCATATGTAGAAGTTATATCTTTACACACGTGCGTGTATAGCAAGTTCGTAGCTATTTAAAACAGATAACATGACGGAATGCGTGAAAACGTCGGGTAGCGAGTAGAACAAAAGGGAGGAAACAGAATTACGGGTGAGAAGTTTCTCAGTCTTACTCGAGAGTCTCATTTCTGGCCGTCTAAGCGTGCCGTCCACGACACCGAATGAGGCCGTCATGCTCGCGTGGACGCTTCCATTGTTCCTCTCAGAGGTATTCATTTCGCAGACCAGTTCTCCGGGTTCTGTCGCACCAGCAGCATTGTCAGCGAGTTCTCAGAGCTCATCCTGATTAAGTGAGCGCCATAAGCGCGCGCGGACCGTAATCCAGCCAGCCACTCTCCTTTATAACTGCTGCGATAATCTAGAAGAAGATTACGAGTCTCATATAAATTATATTCTTAACGTTATTCTCAACGTCGGAGCGGAATACACTTACTTGCGTGTGAAGTACCAGGCAAGTTCCCCGTTCGAGCTTGCGACGATCGCACCACGAGGCTGTTTATTTAATATGCGGCTCACATAAGTATAGAATCGAAATCAGAAAGAGAGCGCGCGTGACAAACTATCGATTATGCGACCGATATGAATTTTAAATCCCGCCTCGGTGCTCGTCTACGCGGTCAGCATATTAATCAACGATGGAATATGCCTGTCTCGCCATATTAATTGCTGAATCTGCTAACGGTGCTACTAACATCCCCCCCCTCGCCCCGTCCCATCCCATCGGCGCGCGTCGTAATCCACACCAGGCCGCTTACTATACTTATCATAAATTAATCGTGAAGAAGCATTCGTAGTATCACGATTAGCTCTTTCATGGAACACGAGTCTGCCGAGTTGCGGCGAAGAGTAGGTCGGTGTCACCTTTCCGCTGGCTTTCGCAGGCGCGGAATATGACACGGTTACAGCGTAATTGAGTTGGGCGAAAGTTTCTCGTCGAATTGGCGGCGGGCAGTACGGGTAGTTTCAGTTTACTAGAGTCCATCTAGTTCGTAAACGTCGTCAAGGTGCTTCGTCGCGCGAATTAGCGACATCGGTCGCGGTACTGAACTTTGTCGATCAACTGGGATCCTTTTTGGTCTCCCTCCGGCTTTCCTTCGCTTCTCCCCCTTTCCCTCCGCGGTGTTGGCCGATCTTTGGCTGAACTGACGAACGCGATGTTGGTCGGCCATCAACCGCAGGCCTTCATCAGTTTACCTCAAACACGTAAACTCGCCTCGTGAACTCGAATTAGCGCATGTAACAGGGCGAAAAAGATTCCCGCGGACGCGTTTAACCAATCACGGGACCGTTTACAGCCTCCCACCGACTTTAAAGACGAACGTATACTGTATCTCACACCCTCGAAATTTCATCGACTCCATATCGCGCAGTCGTTCTCTCCGCAACTTACAGTTCCACAACTCACAGGTCCAATGACTTCACGCAAACTTTGTTGTCTACTACACCGCCACGGTTGCGTACCGAGAGATCAATCGACCTTTGTCCCTCAATCGAGAGACAAACGACCTTTGCGGACTGTTCTTATTGTCGGAATTCTCGCGAGGAACGGAAGAGTGAACGGAGAACGTTCTACCGTTTCTTTCTTTCTCCGAAATAAATGGCGATAATAATGGCGATGCGTTCCTACACGTCGCTACACGCACTTGCCGACGTTTTTCCTCATCACGCGTACCCTCCACCGTAAACTTCTCCGTGTTCGCTCTCACGAGAGAACACCCCCCACCTGCGCCATGAGGTCGTCGACTGACATCGATGTCCTCCAACGCTTTCTTCTCTTCGCCGATCAATTAATCTCTGTACCGGCGGAGCCTCGACGACAACGGGCATCCGCACAAGTCGCTCTGATCAAATTCGATCTCTGCTGGATTGCGCGAGAGATGTGACAGAAATTGCACGGAGATCGTTTCATCATTGGAGCCCATCATCTCTCGGTCTCTTTCGGAAGATACGGTCTTTAGGTTTACTCCGAAAGATACTTCAGGCGACCGATTGGAGGATTGCGAGCAGCGCGTCGGCACCCAAATCCAGGCCGGGTGCCCTGATATCACGTCACTCTCCGTCTTTCGACGAACGGCCGCGGAGAGCCGCAGATTTGCCGCAGCGGCCACCGACACGATGGATCTGTATCCGCGTACCCGTCCCTCTCTCGCGCACGCGGCGCCCTCTCCTCTGCGTCCTCCGCCCTCCACCCCCGCGTTCACCTTTCTCTCGCACGAATCTTCCCACTTTGCGTTTCCCTCTCTCTTTCTCCCTCTTTATCCCTCTCTCTTCCTCCCGTTCCCTCAGTACACTACCCCCCGCTATGTGCCGTTCACCCCTTTCCGGTTTCCTAGTCGCATAGTCGTTTGCGGGCAGCACCGTCGAATTCTGGGTAGCGGTTCAATGATAGTAATATCCTCCCCTTCCTACATTCAATCCCCTTCCTATTTGCTTCTTTAACATTCTTTGAGACTTTTCTTTGGTGTATCTTAGTCTCTTGCGAGGTAAGGATTCCGAGAAGATTGTTTCACGTACCTCAGTGGGATCGGTCACAAGAACGTGAAGCGATAGAGGCGCGACAGCGCGGAATCCGTTGAAAGCTGATAATGGTTTGACTGGTGCAGGCGCAGCTACTTCGGAGAGAAATCGATTTTCCCTTTGGATAGCTGCGACGCTAAGGTTGTCGTTTGAACGTTGAGCTAGGATTAACTGGGTTCTGCTCGCGGATTCTGCGTTATCGACTAGGTGCACTTGCAATATTCAGTTCAAGTTTCTGCAAACTTTAACTTCTGACCTATCAGTTGCATCACTACTTTATAGACAGCAAAGTACTTTGAAGTTACTAACAATATCGAAGCATAGACAGTTATTATTTAGATAAGAAAATTTGTGAAAGAAAATCGATAATAGCAAAATGGGAAATAGTTTCCAATTAGCGAAGATGATGAAGAAATTCAATTGCACTTTCAAACATTTATTAAAAATAATACCAGGATATATTAATTATCAACAAATAGCCATTGTTTAGACGGATTTTGCGAGGATAAGAAGAATTGCAGATTTCTTTATATAGGACAGGAGCGGTTAATTGATAGGTAGAGGAAAAATCGAGCAAAACTACCGGGAAATGTCTCATTTTATGCGTTTTTTCAAGCTTTTATTATAAGAATATAGTATAAACTTTTGCTCGCGATAGCGCTCTCCGTTGCGCGTGAATTTTTATACATATAATTGCATCTCTTAACCCCTCGCGCAGGCCACGATAGTCATAGCTTTTTTTCGATAGTTTACCGATATATATATAATAATAGATCTTACGATTAGCTTATCTCGTCTAACTTGTGATCTATAGGTATATTTGGTTTTTCTTCTTCTGATTTAACTGGAAACATACTTGGCAATTCACGTCTAATAAGTACAACGAAGCATTTTTTTTATCTCGACCTCAACGTGGGCGTCGATGGTCGTCTTCTTCGCACGTTCTATCTGCCGTAATTTTTTTTGTGACCCGGCGTCACCCGCCTGTAATTGATATGTCAATTTTTTTCCTTACAGCGAAGTTCCAGCTCGTTCCGGGGAGAAGCGTAGTTACTGCAAATGTTGACCTCACGGCAGTGCTGGGTATTATTTCCAGCTATTGGCTGAAAGGGTATACAATGGAATGATTTTTATCAGAGAAAAGATATGCTTTTTTATAAGCTGTGGCAGCTCCTAGGCAAAGAGATTCTAATAATAACTCAATAAAAATTCTCATAATTTAAAAAAAAAGAAAATTGTGCGTAATTTTGTAAATTTTATGATGATTAGAAATGTATATATTAATTTTATTTTATTGGTATATATAAGAGTTTAATCAATTTTACTTAATACCTTTGTAATATATGTCCTTGTTCATCGTCGGACAATTCTTCGGACCCTGAACACATGATATAAGAATTAGCGCAATTATTTTTATAATAGAAAAAATACATATTGATATTATTATAGCATACCTGAACATTGAAATCAATGTTTGTCCGAACGGGACGATGATGAAGGGGTTGCGGTGGTCTAAAGTTATTCGCAAGCGGTGCGTTTGGCTGTTTTTCATCCCCTTGCATTAATTGCCTCAGAGCGTGTAGCTATAATAATTATGAAAGTATAATAATTGTGAAAGCTATAATAATTAAGAATTGTAAAGCATAATATAAATAGAATTTAATATTTTGAATGCTGTTCTTCTTTTACAGAGTATTTGACATAAGTAAAAGATACTATTAAACTATTTAAATTTAAGAAAAATAATATATTTTTATATGAATATGATATAATTCGTTCGTATAAAGAGATTGTATTTATCGATGTATTTTTTATATTTATAACTATAAATGAGCTTGAATATTATATAAATATCAAGCCCAAAAAATAAAAAATAAATATCATTCTTAATCTGAACCAACATTCGTTATTGAATAACATGGTATGAGGCACAAATGATTTTATTGCCTCGCTGAATGCGATCGATATCAATAATAACAGAATTTGCAATTCCAATGGATAGCTAATTTAAATACGTGATCGATCATCACAAATATTATTATATGAGTATGAGATTGCTTAAGTTATACATTAGAAACAAACATTTGTCGGTTTACTCGATGCAGTTATTTTTATAAGATTTCTCAATGAAACTCCATTCTATTAATAAAGTCAGCCGCTGTACTTAACTTGAGAAAAAACTAAACAGCAACTCACTGAGCTAATTACGTATTCGCCAATATACATACCTATTTCGTGCGCTACAATAAGATTATCGTGAAGAACAAGATTTTAAATACTTTGTTATTTTTACGCTATAGAGAATTTGTTCATTCTTGAAATCAAAACATCTCTTGTTCAATTTTACGCTTGAAAGAACAAACGACTAAATGTCAAACACTGTCTTCTTTTTTTTTTACAGATTCCTGTAAAACCCGTCAAGCATGATTTATGATTACATTGCTCCAAGGTACGAGCTTAGTAAGTGCCTCATTTCCACCCTTATTTCGCAACTTACTTTATCCATTCGTTAAAGCACGACCGTCGTTCCTCGATGTTTCAAAGACTCTGTCTCTCTTAATGATCGGAATTGCATAATTGAATGGGGCCGCCGTACTTCGCGTCACGCGCGCGAACGCTCGAGTGCGGGGGCGTGTGTATGCATTTTATAAGAGCCGGCAGCGGCGATACTTGCCTGCTGCTTGGTGATGTATATAGGCTTGTTGAGGATGATCCATGTGGTGGTCTCGTGACACGCCGGCATCGTGGTGGAGCCGTCGTACGTCATGTAATGCTTCGTGTCCGGCAGAAGTTCGCGCACCCCGAAACGTTTAATTTCCATGGCCTGCCCTGTGCAATTCATACGATCGATAACGTCAACTTCGTTCGTGTATACGTAATGCATACACGTGCAATGTACGCGTGTTACTGCCCGATTGCTGCCCGATTGCTGCCCGATGCCACGGTACACACAGCTGATACACATATTGTTACGTATCACTAAAGTTACCGTGCATACACCGCTCGATTGTATTTGCATACGTCAAAGAAACATTCGCGTTCCCTTAAAGAATGATGGTAATTATCGATTTATCTTCCCGATAAAAAGTTGGCGACAATAGCCCGTGCAAAGTTTTTAAAAAGTTATAACGCATGCTGCCATCAAACTTTCGAAGGTACATCAATCTTGCAACTTTTTCATTCGAATTGTACTTTTATCTCAAAACATTAATTTATAGAGAAAAAAGAATAAATGAGAAATGAACGCGTTAATATACATATTTCAGTTTTTATCAATTATCGATTTGTGGAAGAAAATTCTTAATGTATTAAAATGTATCGTTAAAATGTTATTTGAGTTAAACAAAATGTTATTCATCACTGCAAAAAAAAAAATGGTATTTTATAAATATTCGTTCGTTGCGTCGTTATGAAAGAAATGTAATCCTGCATTAATTCGTTCGATATGCTAATCTTGACTGATATGAGAACTCTCTGAGAATTTTTAAACTCATGCAGCTAAAATTCGTCTGCTAAAACTAGATTATCGTTTTTGTTGAATTGATCGCTACTCCTCCGCGTCGTACTGTTATCCCGGAATTCGTTACGTTATTGAATTTCTCACCTCCGTATTTGATTTTATCCAACTGCTGCGTGAACGTTCTCAACTCCGGGTTCGAGAGGTCGCCCACCTAGAAAAGGACCGAGATCGCCTATGACGCTTATTTCGAACTTTATTTAACATGTGAGTATTTATAGGAGAGATTAGGTATGTACCTGTAAAAGAAGCGATACCGCCACGATCCCCTGCGCCCTGTGCAGGGCGTCCGAGAAGTTGTTATAAAGCTGCGAGTTGAAGCCGAATATCTGAAGCTACGAGAACAAAAGGCTTTGAACGTATTTAGAGACTTAAGATTAAAGAACTTTTTTTTTCTTTTTAATTTAAAAGGGCATCAACGAGAATTTAATTTCGATTAAATTCTTCCACAAACAAGCTTTGAAGTTGAAACGAAAAAAGATCGCGAGGAATGTTCGGAGGTTTTGAAATATTTTTATTTGTCTCTGTCATTTCGTACCTCGGCAGGAAACGCATGTCCATCGACGGTGTGCTCGCTGCCGATGCGATCGTCCGCGCCGAAGTGCAAATGAATCTCGTGAAATTGATAACGATAACTGAGCGGACCACCGGAGATATTGACGGGATGGCGGGTGTCGTTTTCCACAGCGAACACAACACTATGGCCGGTGTTCGCTAGTACGCCATTGATTCTGTGCTTATCCAAATGAAGCGGTTGTAAATTCGGGTCGAAAAGCAGTTGATTAGGATCGAGATTGACTGGTGATTGTCTTCGACCTTTGTTACAGAGCCACCATTCCGGGTTGATGAGACCCCAGAAGGCAGGACCTTTGAATAATCGAAGGAATTTTTCAGATCATATTAGATAACAAAAGAGAAGGATATTTGATTGATAATGATACCAATTTGGAAATCGATCTGGCTTACCAGAAATACCGTCGTATGTCCACCATTCCTCCCAGCTAACGGGTGTCGATTCTGCAAATATTTTGTTATTAATAAGTGATATAATCTCTATGAGAAATCCGATAATTCAGCATAAATTTATGAGAATTGGATAAATGCATTGTTTGGCGCTGAGAATGGACAAAAGACTCTTTGTGTCGATTGAATTGCATTAAGCAAATGTATCGGACGTCATAATCGCTTCTAATAGCATAATATTATTTATTCACTGAATTACGATTGAATGATCCAACGTCCAGTGGAGTAAAAAGCTTTTAATACTCGAATTTCTTATATAAAAATTCAATAATAGCTGCGTCAAACTTTGATAAATATATCAGAATTAAAATACTTTGTAAAATTAAAATATTATATTATTATATTATTATATATTGAATATGTCTGTTTCAATTTAATATTGTTTCAAATAAAAAAGGCTCAAAGGTTAAAAATAATGTCTACCAGGTGGTAAAGACAAATATAGGATAATGAAAAAAAAATTTTTTTCTATCGAGATCACGTATAGAAAAATATTAGAAACTCATAACAATGTTGGACATACAAACCTTTTATCAAAATGACAACAAACACTCCCCAGACACCCAGGAAGACGGAACTGAAGGGGGCCATTCCTAGCACTGTGCGGTCTTCGTCAATTGAACATCATTCGGCTCGTTTCTGCGACACAGAGAGAAGGAGAACCAGTTGATTCACGGGCTGGGTTCGAAAGTGCTCGCGTGTCGCGCACCCTCTCATGTACCCCTTCGAGGCCCGCGGAGGTCGCGACTTTCGCCCTCTTGGGCGAAATACTTCAACAGCCTGAACCATCCACGAGAGACTCCGATGAGCTCCGGTAACTTTCGAGGGAGAGAAACTTGACGATCTACGATAACGTAATTGATCCGTCAACCGTACCGCCCCTCTAAAAAGAACAAAAAAGAAAGAAAATCCGCGAACCGCCGTCGTCGGTTCTAATCTAATCGTTTGGCGTCACGCAACGCGACGACTCCGACGCCGACGAACATCGACGTTGAATTTGCATCTCTGACGCTCGTTCCGCACGAGAGGATTATCGTGTGGCACGATAACGCTCGCGGGTGACTTTCACGTTCGTGTGAATTCTCGCGTAGCCGTTACAACAAGTCCGTAATCGGATCAGTCATCCGTTGTCTTCAGCAAAGGGAAAAGCTCTTTCTCTGTCTCTCTTATTACTCGCGGTATTTTCGCGGAATGCATGCAACAGAGGAAGTATCAAGTGAGGCGCGAGTCCGAGCATCACGAGTAAGAAAGAAGAGACAAAATCCACAGTCATCGTTGTCCGGCGTCGCTTAAATGGGGGCGGGGTTCTCTCTTCGCTCGATCCCCACTCTGGTCCATTCTGTGGAGTCCACTTCACCCCGGGTTCCTCCACGGTACTCGAACGGTGTATTCTTAGGTCAGGGAAAACTCGAGTGCGCGGCTCGCTTCGATCGATCGATCGGATCTCCACACGTCCGTCCACGCGAAGAAGAAAAAAAAAAGAAAAGAAGCTAGCGAGAGCGAGTGAGAGAGAGAGAGAGAGAGAGTACGTGCTTTCCGCACGCTCGTGAATTTCAAAGGATAGCCACTCTTCGTCGTCGCCGCGTCAGCCGCACGGCTTATTCTCTTTTTCTCTTCCTCTCTATCTCCCTTTCTCTCTCTTTTTTTCTCTTTCTTTCTTGCCTCGCCTTCGCCGATGTGTCTTCGAGATAGATACTTTTATCGCGCATCGAAACTCGCTGCTGAAATATCTCGAGCCTTTGCGCCCATCGATCGTGCTTCGCACGTAGCCACTTCATCCTGCTTTAGTCGCCTATCGACCGATACAAACGGACTTTCTCCCAAAACGCCAGAAGTTTGTGTTCAAATTTTCACTGTTCTCGTCAGAAATAAATTCAAGAAATACGGATACAACTAAAAAATAATCAATCAGATTACACAAGATAGATTAGTTACGAAATTGACCTGGAAAAAGAAATCAATTTATCATTAAATCTGATAAGATCGGAATTAATGATAAAATTATATTCTCTTTCTTGATTAAATAAATAATATTCTATATTAGAATTATATATATGTGATATAAATAGAGAAAGAGAATTGAACTAATCTGAAATTAAAGACAATTCTTGCGCGCGCGCACATCGATAAAAACCAGCTCTTCTAATCACATTGTCATCATTTGACGTTTTTTTTATCCCGTGATGAATCGTTTAAATCTTTGAAGTGAAACGCTTTAAAACTGACAAAGAAAAATTCGATACTATACTATGACATTTTTTTAATTTGTCAACCTGTTTCTACATACAAATCACTCAGCATTTAGAGAAATGTCAGTGTTGTTTAAAAAAATAACTGGATTTTTATTACATTTTAGTTTATTTTTAGAAGATTATCAATCGAACAGTAAAATTGAAATTTGAGTTTTTACGAAGAATATAATTTTAAAAACTTATTTATTATTATTATTATTACTTTTAGTAGTAATTGAAAACAATGACGATTATACTTAGCATTATACTGTATGACTAATTTTGTGAGTCTCGTATTTTGAAAATTATACATGTACAAATTTTAATAAAATATCTCACACTTAGAGAAGTGCTATGTGATATATCACTCAACATAATTTAGTCAATTTAATTATTTACTTTTTTTGCGAGAAAGAACACCAAAAACATCAAATTATCGATATATCGTTCGAAATAATTAACACTTGTAGTACGTTCAGCTTCATTAGTTTTTATTTAGTGACTCGAAGGGGATTAACTCGATATTTCGCGAGGTCCGTCATACCCACGGGAAACGATGCGCGTAGGAATCTTGATCGATTTACCGTATTACCAGAGTGCAAGCGTTCATCTCTTGTTGCTTCGCGTTTCCAGGCCGAGCGAGTGGCTAAACTCAAATTGTTATCACCGCTAATCGATTAATCGAACGATGTTCCACCGCCGGCGAGCTTCTCCATCCCGAGCAACAAACATTCCATCCGCGCGTTCTGAATCCCAGACAAACGCGATGGTAAGGACCGACGCGGATGTCTCGTTCACACAGAAGAAAAGTGTCCCCCCCCTCCTCCCTCCCCTCCTTCCTCATCGCACTATACCGACCATCTCTCTTACATCTCTCGATCGCTTTTCGCTACGATTGCTTTCCTCTCGTAAATCGCGATTCCTTCATACCTTAATCCGCTTCTGCTTCATACGCTGTATTCACATCTCACACACCGCGCGTTTCCCTTTACACGTCTCTATTTCCCTCGTTTCCTTATACCTCGCTTCTACTCCGCTTGATCGCTCCTACTTATAGCTTCATGCTTCAGTTGCTCGCTACCTCATACCTGGATCGTCTTGCTTTTCATATCATCTTCATGACGCCGCGACGCCGCGCGCAGTCACGCGACGAAGACATATCCTGACGTTTATCCTGTCAACTACTAAACCGTCTTCAGCGCATTCGACGCGGAAGCGGGCTTACGGGTGCTGATCGAGGATGATTGAGAAGAGGAAGATAGAAAGAGAGTAGGTGCACGCAGGTGCGACGGGGGGCAGGAGCGCGCGCGAATCGATCGCGGGGTCCGCGACGCGAAACGCCGCGACGCGGCGACGAACGAACGGTGCGGCCGAAAATTCGCGTGACGAGAACGCGAAATGGGGAACGCGCGCGGCGTCTCCCTTGCGGAAATCAATAAGCGGCGATCGCTGAGAACGTGGTTTCTCCGCGCCGTCCTGACGCTTCCCTTCCGCTTTTCGTCGACGATGCGACGATTTCGATCTCGCGCGCGCGAACCGGCAAAAAAATTCTACATATCCCCCTGAAGAAAGAAAGAACCTACCCCCTCTGTACGTATACGGTTCGCCTCAATCTCGTTCGCTCGTTGAGCTACCACTAGGGGATACTAACCGTGGACGACGAAAAGGACGACGTCTTTCTTTTCCTCCTCCTCCTCCTTTTCCGCCGGCGCACCACTTCTTCCACCGATCTCGCCGTCGACCGCGGCCACGACAACGCGCGCCACGCAGGCCGGTGTCCTCTTCGAGGACGATGCCGCCGGAGGACGATGCCGCCGTGCGCGTCGCGGCAGATTCGCCGATTCGCGGCCCGGCGCCCGAGAGCTTCCCACGGATACTCCCTGTCTTTTATTCTTCCGATTTTCTCTCCGCGCTATCTCGTATATTTCCTCCTCTTCCACCTGTCCTACCGATTTCTGTCTTTTTTTTTCCCCTCGATCACGGAATAATTTCGTTAAAAGCGCACGGCGGCGAAGGAACGACGAAGGAGGAACGACTGCCCTACGAGGCGACTGTATACGTCCCTCCTCGCGCGTCCTCACCCCCTACACCCCTTCTCTCGCTTGAATCCCTTTCTCTATCCCTCGCACGGCAGCTACCCTCGGCATCTCTCTTTCTCTCTCTCTCTCTCTCTCACTCACTCACTCACTCACTCACTCTCGACGTTATCGTGGCGCACGCGCCAGGTGTGTCCTTCCTCTCTACCCTTCGCGTGCGCGCTGAGCGCTCTCTCCATTCTCTCTCTTTGCCTATCTCACCTTCTCTCTTTCCCCTTTCCCTCCTTCATCGCCCTCTCGCGCGCGCGATCTATTTCGTATTCGTTCCTCCTGCGCGTCCCGCTCTGCCCGTTCTGCCCGCTCAGCTCGCTTGCTACGTTCGCGCTTGTTCGGCCGCCGCATCGACGCGTCCGGACACGGAGGACGAGATTCTTGTGCCTTCGTTCGCTCGCACGTTCGCCCGTTCGTCCGCTCGCTCGCAGCCACCATCATCATCGTTTCTCGTCGTCAGGACGTTTGCGCACTCGAGCCACTGTTGGCACGAGTCGGAACAAGAGGAATGAAAGCATGAGGGAAAGGGATCACCCGGAGAGTGGAGACGCTCTCTCTCCTCCGTCCATCAGTCATGAAGGAATCCCGCGCGAGCCGGCTCGAATTACGGCGAATTGACCTATTTGCCTCAAAGGGGTGGGTTAGTTGCGCTCCTTCGGTAGGAGACGAGCCCGCTCTTGCGAGAAGCGTCCGGAATCGTAAGCCGGATAAGGGCGCAATGTCGTAGAGCGCGACCTCGAAGCCGCTCTCTGCAATTTCCCTTCCCTTTGTATGCAAGCGGCGGCGCTCGATTGCACAAAAGGGAGAGGGATCGAGGGTCGGAAAATCTTGGAGCGAATCCCTCCCTCCACTCCCCCCCTTCTCTCTTTCTCTCTCTCTCTCGTCTTTACCCTTCGTCTCTCTTCGGCCATCGGATTCGCGTTTCTTTTCTTCTCGAGACTTGCCGCGCGTAACCAGAGCGCGCTATTATATCGGGCGTTCGGTCGGTCGATCCCAGGGTTGCTCCCGCTTTCCGGAGAAGTATGCCAGGAATTTATAGAATCCATCGGGGATATCGGCAAACTGATCCCATCCCGTCTGGATATTTCTTGAACCACCACAAACGTAGATATACAATTCTGAACGGATATTCGAATTATAATTATCGCGTTGCGGAAATTAGATTGATTGGCACGAATTTATTAATAACTGACATGTGGATCATTAACGTGTTTTTGTACATTATGACGCGACACAGATTACGGTGACGGTATACGATACGTATTAACGTGCAGACTCTATAAGAAAACGTCGTAGGTATTTATGATAAATGTTAGAAATGAGAGCATATGGCATATACGTATTATATACAATACGTATTATGTTACTGGCAATATTATTATTAATATCGATATCATTTGATGTATCAATAATAGCATAAATGATTAAACTTTATATATATATATGTAATTATATACATTCTGAGTAAATAATTAAAAACAATGTACATTTACAGAAGGTGACTTTCATTTTCTAAATTTTGCCCGTATACGTTTCCGGAATGAGTCAGTTATATTTAATTTCAGAGTTCCGAGAATATCATTGCCAGAGAGAACTCTTCGCAGAAACGCTTCTATTTCCGTGAGTTTCCTCGCGTTTTCCCTCGATTGAGAAAGGCTCGGCTCCTCCCGGGCAAGAGATGTAGGCGGCATCGCCGAGCGTTAATCCTGTCATCGACATCGGTCCGCGGAACTTTACGGCGGCGACTTTCGGCTCCGCCGTGAGAGTATATCGATAGACACATCGGGGCGAAATTACGCTCGGGGATCCTCTGGCGTTGGCGTTTCGAGGTCACCAGGCGCCCCCGCCAGGATCTCCGGCGCGCGGATACACCGAAAAGCCCCTGACTGGTCGACTCTACGCGGAGGCGCTTATCGATTTTCAAAGCGGCATTGCCCCCCCGTGAACGTCGCTCTTCCAGCAGGTCGTCGTCGTCGCCGTCGCCGTCACCGTCGTCACCGTCGTCCTCCACGTTCTCTTCGTCTTATACGCCAGAGACAGAACGAAGAAAAGTGATAGAAAGAGGATTGGACGAGGAGCTTTTGGACGATCGTGCGACCAACCGAATCGATAAGACGCGTCCTAACATCCGGATGCACTCTCCCGGCTGCATCTGATTGCCCATTGCACATGCACGCCTGTTTGTGGATATTGGATTTGCCGCGAGACTTATGCCCGAGCCTCGCTTCGGCACGTTTCATAACGGCGGTTAGAAGCGGCGGCGGCAGCGGCGGCAGCGACGAGTGACGACGATTATGGGTTATCGATATTGCGGACTTAGCTCACCGCGCGCGAGCCGGGACGCTCATGGATATGCAAAAATGTAAAAAAGCGCTTTCCCAGACAACGTGGGCGGGAGGGTATTTGGACGGCGATCGTGTCGCTCTGGCGTGAGCAAACTAGTTTGCCTCTTTCGGGAACACGTCAAGAGACGCCGCCGGATCTGAAAGCCTATGGCCACCGGACAAATTCAGGGCGGTGTTTTTGGTCGATGTCCGATAGTCTAACGACGAGAGGCGGTATAAAAAGAGGCACTGCACAGGAAAGGTGTGGAGAGGAGAAAATTTATGGAACCATTACAAAGCGGAAACGTATGTTATAGCAGAATAAATTATGCAAACGTTTTGATATGTTTACGTAATTTTGATACGCGCGTAAATATGTATCTGTTTGTAAAAGAAAAATTGCGCACGGTAGATTGTGTTTTTCATAAATAAAACTGTTTGAACGAAGAAATCGATTAAAGAAGAAGTATGAAAAATAAAAGTTTGCCTTGAAAAATATGAGTACTCGCCATCAAGATTTCTTAATATTTATCACACAACTGGTTCTACAGTTTCGTCTGACTAACACGCAAGTGTTCTACTTACACGAGAGATAGCGGTTCATCATTGTGAAAATGTATAGAGGCAATTAGCCGTGTCACATGACATTATGTTCTGTCAAAACTTTAGGCAGCTTTAGAACCGTTATTAACGTCTACAACGTTTCTATATCGTATATTTCGTACACTCTAAAATGCTACTATATGATTATTCAAGCCGAAAATACGAGTTTAAATTAGTGATTACCTTGCAAATTTTGGAAGTTTAAATTAGAGAGAGAGAGAGAAGCAATTCATGTATTCCGCTTTTCCACAGGAGAGACGGTAAATATCTCAGAGGGCTTTCAACTCTTTAAACGATCGTTTGAACGCGTAATTGCTATAACTGGATGCTGTAAGCATGGCGCGGCTTATGAATAGTAATTCGTGCATTATTATTAGCTTTGACTGCAACGATCTAATTACTATCAGTTTCCGATATCGTACTTATTAGTAGTCATCCAACGCAGATTACAAATGCGAATTCCACAGATGAATGAAACAAAGAACAGAAAGTAAGAATAATGACCCATTGACCTCAGCATGAAAATAGTTTGTATTTTTTTCTTAAAAACAATTATATCTATAATATCTAACATAATTTTTTTTAAATCTTGTACAGCAAATATTTTTTTATATTTCATTAATTATTATTAAAAAATTCTTTATTTTAATTTGCAGATTTACTTTGAAGACTTCATGGAAATATCGCAAAAAGATTAGATAACTGATTAATAAAAACTATTTCTGGAACTAGTCGTCCTATTAAAGTTTCAAATACAAAATTTTTATATCCCTTATATTAATGAATTATGTATCATTGTTAAAGTAAGACGAAAGTGAGCATTTTTGTACTTAAAAAAAACCAATATTTTACATTGCAGGGATAATATTCTTTTTCTGCTTTTAAGTCAAAGAGTGATGTTCTTTTCATTCTGCACTCAGATACTTGGAGTCAGCCGTTAATCGAAGTCATGGGTAATGTCCGGAAAATTACCTAGGCATCCAGGATAAGACCCGAAATATCTTAATACTTGTCTGTAGACAACGTGACTTCCAAAATATTCACCAGGGAGGAGAGATAGAGAGAGGGAGAGAGAGAGAGAGAGAGAGAGAGAGAGAGAGAGAGAGAGAATAAGCAACGAATTATTGTTCATCTAATTCAAATAGATTTTTCAAAATTGAATACAAGATTTGCCATACTACATTATTGCGGAATATTACAAGATTATAATAAATGATAACGTTTCTCGAAATTTCCTTCTAATTGACTATTCGTTAAGGAATTATTAAAGTAGAGTAGATTTTGTAATATCCTTTGATAATTTATCGATAAGGATCTCCAATATTCATAAGGAGGATTTCAACTTGTATATACATTTGTGCTTTCAATTTTAAAATTGTCAAAAATTCACACATTGAATTTCATCTTATTTTCGTATCGTTTATAAGCATTATGTTACCTTCTATTTGAATTTCAAATTATCACAAAAGACATCTCACCAAGAATTCCCAGCCGTGAGATCTACCCGAACATGCGGCAATAACAAGTAGTAGCTGCAATAAAAAAAAAATAGAGGGAAGGAACAGTCGCTCGAAGTTACTTTTTCGAATAGTAGCGATGAAACATTCTTTTCAGAAGTCGAATACAGAAACGTCGTCGGTCGCAAAAATCCAATAAAGACGGTGCTCGTAAAGCGAAGCAAAGAAAGGATTACCATACCGACGAGAATAATGCACGATGAAATGTGATGGTGAATTATAACGGAATGTCATCACATTCTTGGAATGTTAAGAAAAAAATACTTTTTTTCGTTGCGATTTTACATATGTAAAACTATGAGGATCCAACGATTTTCGCTACTATAATCTCGTGCGTGCCATCTCTTATCTCCAGAAATCGAACACTGACAATTTAATACTGAAAGACAGTAATTAATTACTTATTTTTAATATTAACAACACTATTATTTAATGTCTTTAGTACTCTAAATAAGCAATTAATTATTGTCTTCCAGTAATAAATTAGCCATTAGATTTCTATAAAAGATTGGCTCGTTATCAATATTTAGATAATTTATATACATTGATTTAGATTTAATTAATTTTCTTTAACATTATATTTTATTTACATTATTTATAGACATATGAGGTTTATACAAAAAAATATAAGATTCAAATTTTGATTGAAAATATCTCGATATAAACTACTTCGCTTTAAGTTATCTCGTTAAACATGATTCTGATTCTCTGATATTCTTTTATTTTAACTCCTGAAGCTGAAAGACAATACGCATAAGGTTATTGCAACACGATGTCCCTTTATGATTTTCTCTTCCAGTAGCTGCATGTTACTCTTCTAGGACTCGCTTGAAAAGACAAAACACGCGGATGCACATTTCATGGATTCGATGCGCGACATGGAGGCGCGAGCCTAACTTGACAAAGAGTGCGGGCGTCGGAAGTGAAATGCAGCGCGATATAATGGTGCGCCAGACAAATGTCGATGTGCGAGCAACAAGTGCCGAGAGGGCCGTCTACTTCTGACAATG